CGAATCAATAGAAATAAAAAGAAACACCAACGCAATAAATGACAAAAAAGATCCACAAAATCTAAATAAAATATATTTCTATCTGATTTAAACAATAATAATATAACATCATAAAAAGCTCTTACAGTCATAACATATCTCCACCTTACCTTTTTCGAAAACATCAACGATACGCCCATATAAAAATAATTATATACTAATGACAGTAAACAATGAGATATCAGATATCAACTTTTATATGTCAGTTCGTTAATGTCTGTGTCACGTTTTACGTTTTGCTAGTCAAAAATACGCATAGCTTTAATGATAGCCAAACTTCGGAACGAAGACGGCACTTGAAGAAGAAGAAGAAGTCATATATATACATATTTTACAATATCTGCTTGTCCTTATATATAAACGCATTTTAGACAAAGGCAAGGGTTTCCTGCCGAAACGTTGATTGATTGCAATGGAAAATAAAATCTAGTTCCACATGTATCATATCTTTATTGAACCTAAACCCAAGAAACATTAATTTTATATTAAATATATATATATATATATATATATATATATATATATATATATATATATATATATATATATTTAATTCTACTAGTTTTAACCGTAAGCAGGCAAAATTTCTCTCCTTAAGGGTAGTTTGGTGGTAAAAAAATATTAGGATGGTAATAAATTAATGAAAAATGGGTAAAAAAACATGCCATCGGCTAAAAGTTTTTGTTCTGAATTCTACTAGCTTGAACCTTAAGCAAGCAGAATCGTTCCCATTAAGGGTGGTTTGGTAATGAAAAATTATTAGGGTGGTAATAAACCCTATAAGCATAAAAAATGGGTGAAAAATATTACGTAGGTTAAATTGGATTCCGATCATTTGTCTCCGCAATTTTGAGGATCCTCGGTATTAAGGTTCGTTTCTATTTTTACATTTAATTTTTTTTCTATTATATTAACAACTATTTAAAGGGATTTATTTAAACATCAATTGTTGTCATTGTTTGATGACTGCTTTAATTACATTGATTCTCGTTACAAAATATTTTATTTGTTAATTTTTTTTATGCACAAACTGTATTTCATTTGATTATCCTTATTTCTAATCTAACATATAATCCATTTTTTTAAATTCAAACATTATTTAAAGCATGCCCACGTTGCCTTAAGGTTTTTTAGTTATTTTTATTTAGTTTATTTTAGATTAATTTTTAAATATATATAAAGCTTTTAAATTGTTTCAAATGACGATTATTACTTTATAATTACATACCAAATAAAAAAATGGCTACATGCATTTTCGAGAGCAAATGAAAAGAGCATGCACTTGAGCAGTAAGAAAAAGTAGGCACTGTGAATAATTCAACAACTAAATTATGCAGTATATGCAGAGAAGTACAAATGGTAATTTTAGCTTACTTTATATTTTTGCATATTAATGCTGTAAAAGGGCATGAATAAATAACTTTTGCGAAAAAGTGTTTTGTCGAGAATTGAATTTATAAAAAGTTATAAAAAATTGCTTTGTTGGAGTGGAAATAAAATAAATAAAAAATTCAAAATATTTTGGAGTGCAAATTATTTTATTATTTATACATTTTTATCAGTGGCGCACCCAGAATTTGTTTAAAGGGGGTTTTGAAATTTTTTATGCTACCTCCATTTTGAGTCCATAAAATTTGAGTTTTATTTAAATTTAAAGTAATTAAGATAACTGTGCCAATGATTCAGGTATCTTTTATCTTGCCTACCAACCAAAACCACCCTCCCTTACTTGTGTGCAGTTGAATGTCTCACGTACCGTGCTCCAAAAGTGGGGTGGCCACTGTATGGCTAACGAGATTTTTGGAACACTCCCTTCTCTTATCTAGATCTTATTTATTGTTCTGAAGCTATTTTCTTGTGGTTTTTTAAAGTAATTACTATTTTAATGGGAATAAGCTACAAATGAAGGTTAAAATAACTTTATTGACATTTGACATTTAACCAACTTGTAAATACAATGTATTTTGGAGACGGCTATCGCCGTATTCCCGTTCTTTCATGCCAATCCTCCTGGTCCAAGGCATGCTCATCCTCCAAACCTCTCGATTCCATCGCCCTTCTAATTTCTTTATTCCATGAGCGTCGATGTTTACTTCTTTTTCTTTTTCCAGGGGACTTTCATTTGTGAAGTTTTTGGAGCTAACTTTTGTCAGGAATTCTCAATGTGTCCAAACGATTTTGAACCCCTTCTTTCTATTCTGTTAATGACTGTTTCTGTAGCAATTATGTTATTTCTTATAGATTCGTTGGTCTTCCTTTCCTGCCTTGATGTTCTAGTACTTTTTCTCAAATAATCCATTTCAACTGCCAACAATCTTCTCTTCAGGTCTGCATTAATTGTCCATACTTCAGAGCCATAACAAAGACCTGGTTCAACCATCGTTTGCCCTTTTTTTTGTTCCTTTTGGAAATGTTGCGATCCCACCATAAGGAGTTCAGACATCCTACAATTTTAAGCTGTTCTTAGCAATGAGTGCACCTAAATATTAAAATTTTTTCCACGTGCTCGTCTGAATTGATAACTAAACATTCTGTTTTCTTCATACTGACTTCTAATTCCTATTTTACATATTATCTGTATTGGCGCCTTATCATAAATTCTAGATCATAAGAATCTTGAGCTAGGACGACTTGGTCATCTGCAAAGTTCCGGGAGAACAGTACGTCATTTCTTATAACGATTCATATTCCATGGCAGCAGTTTTTTTTAATTTTAGAGGGCTGCCTCAATATATAAATTAAACAGTAATGGTGACATACTGTATCCTTGTTTTAGTCCTTTAATTACTTTAATTGGCTCTGATAGTCTATTTCCGATTTTTAGGTAAGTAGTGTTATCCCTGTATACTTATGTGGTTATTCCTAAAAGGTATGGACTAATGTCGAGTTGTTCTAAATCTTGCCACAATTTAAGTCTTGAAACTATATCATACGCCTTTTCTAGGTCGATGAAGGATAGATATACTTCGGTACTAACCGCTAGTCTTTTTTTTAATAATTGTTGAAGTATAAATAAGTTAAGATCAAAGATCAAGGATTCAAACGTCAATAAACTTTTTTTAACCTTCAATTGCGGCTTATTCCCATTAAAATAGTAATTAGATCCTATCTCTATCGTTGGTCTGGTTGATGTTTCTCCTTTTCGTCTTTCTTCTTAATGACTACGGGGATGTAATTGTGAACACTATTCCATCTCTTTGTACTCTCCGTCATCTTCACGATCATCTCTCTTACAGTGGTTCATTCCTATTTCTTTATACATTCTGTTTCTCTCCTCTGTACATCTATTACACTCCAGCATTGTGTGAGTAACAATGTCGGAGTATTTCCAGTATAGGTATATATTTGTATATGTCTTCCAGAACCTATAAAGATACGCCCTAAAACAGACAATCTATCCAGTCTCTTCGGCTCGGGATCAGCATCTTGGTCCACGGGGCAACATCTTCCTTTTTGTTCCACTCTTCTTCCCATCTTTTCATTGATCTTTCCCTTTCTTTTTTTCCTTATAGCAGTTATCAAATGTTCTTCTCTCTTATAGAGCCATTTTTTTTCCACTGCTAACACATTTAGAGGAGCACAACCTATGCTAGTCCACAAGGCCGCCGCAGATACAGTCCTGTAGGGGCATGCTACTCGTAACAGACTGGGTGCGCCACAGATTTTTATGATGAAAAGAACTTTCTAATTATTGGAAGTTTTCCAATTAACATACTCTAAGATTAAAGCACAATTCACAGATTGGAAAATATTAAGAAACAGAGGGGTAATAACTCTTTAAAGGGAACAATGTAAGAGCTCGTGCATCGGGCACATTCAAAAAATAGTAAACCAAGGAATCAAAAAGAAAAAGCTAATATTTTATTTAATACTGTCAAATAATTGGCCTAAAAGAAGATCTTAATACAAGATGTAGACGTGGTAAGATAAAGATCTGAGAAACATATCAATCAATATTATACACAACATCGAAAACATCAACTTTCATATACGGGCAATACATTTCATACTTTCATTACATTTCTCGAATACGGGCAAATATAAATAAAAAAATAAAACACAGGGTATACCAGTACAAAGTGGAGTCAGACAGGGTGACTTGTTAAGCCCAGTTTTCTTAAATATAATATTGGACGAAATCATACAAGCAGTACGTAAAGATTGTGGTTACAGAATCGGGAACCAAGAAATTCAAATGCTATGCAGACGACGGCGCATTAATCGCCTAGACAGAAGACGAGCTCGAAAGATTAATACACATCTTCAATACAATAGCCAAGAAATACAATTTGATAATATCAGCAGAAAAAACGTAATGTACGACAACATCTAAATACCCACTACGATGTAAAATCGAAATTGATGGAAAAGGTTTAAGAAATCTGGAAATAGATATAAATAGTTACGGAGATGTTGAAGATGAAGTACGACAACAAAGCTTAAAAGCAAGTAAAGCAGTGGGATCTCTTATTGCTACAATCTGGAAGAAAAAACACCTAAGACAAGACACAAAAATAAGAAAATATAAAGCAGCAGTTAGACCTATATTAACATACAGTACGGAGACAAGACCTGACAAATCAAAAACGATACGACTACTAGAAATAACAGAGATGAAAATACTTCGAAGAATATCAGGGAAAACTCTGTTGGATAAGTCACCAAATGGACGAAGAAGTATTGGTAGACCAAGAAAAAGATGGTCCGATAATTTAAACAATTTAGGAGAGTAATATTACAGAAGAAACAGGCTTTAAAGCCTACATATTAAATATTGGATCAGTATTATATTTATACTGAAAAATTATTAGATAAAAAAATAAATAATTGAATAATATTCAGTATGTTAAGTTACTTATTGTTTTAATAATATTTTTCTTAATATTAGATATTTTTAATTGTTTCAGATTACATGTGAGCCGGTGAATATGGTATAGCCGGCAAGGTGGGTCGAAGAGAGTATGGCCAGAGTGCGGTTGTTCAGATGGACTTGGGTTTGGGCTTGGACTGCGTTAGCTGGACTGTGCGCTCTGGCCGCAACAGAGGTAAATATCTCAAAGCAAATATTTTAGTGTTCTTTACTTCAATGATTCTCAAAAATTTCTGTTATATTTTTTATAATTCTCTTATATATTCTTATATTCTTTATAATATTCTTAATAATTCGTTCTTTATACTAGGAAGCTGAAAATTTCTTGCATTTATGCAACGTGTTCATAGGCACATTTTGCCGTTAGAAATTTGAGAAAATAAAACAAACATAAGTTTACTAAAAGATTACTATTAGTAGTAAATCTACAGTAGAAAGGAGTTTTACAAGAATTGCTCTTGCTTGCTATCGTCTACTTGTAATTGAGGAGTCAGGACAGAATCTGAGTTCACAAAAACAGTTTTCGTGGAAATTGAAATTTAATGTTTTTAAATTAAAACATATTATTTTTACTCAATCGTGTAAATAGGTAATTTTTTTCACTGGTATGTTGACATGTTTACAGAGAAAAAATCAAGAGAAGACAAAAAGTATTGTCTTTGTGAAACATCATACAAAAAAATTGAGTGTGCCGCCATCGACCAAGAACGTTCTTCCCCAGTACCTTCAAGCTTCTGCGTCACAAAATGTTTCTTCCTCCGGACTTCCCTCCTGTTCAGTACCTTGTAAATCAGTGTAAAACTTTTCAGAGTTTACGTTTTTCAAATATTTGGTCAAGTGGATAAGATCTTGTAACTCAGCAGCTTTGACCGGTGGTGGGTCGTTGTACAAAGCTTCGGAATGATTGTGACTAGTAACTTCCGGAGTTGTAATATTATGAGCTTTCCTTAAACTTTTTTACGAGTTTTCTTTAACTTTGCATTCAAACAGCGAGCTTGCGAATAACCTAGAATGGGTATTCTTGTAAGAGATACATTGAGGGCTATTTTTCCTGATTTTCAACACTCGAATAGCCCTCGTAGGCAATCGGCATTTCTTGGGATACTTGTTGAAGAAATGTTTGGTTCAATTCAGAAATTTGGTATCTTTCCCAGACCACCACTTGGAACGGTTTCGGTTCCACTCTGCTGTTGCGGAGGACTGCTCTCCAATTATCCGGTGTTTCCATATAAGCTTTGTCATTAATTAAACTCATATCCCGGTCATATACTAGATAGGAATGTCCTCTGATAGCAAAAAGTACTTTCACAAACTTAAACCGTCCTTCTGTCTGAACTAGATAATGAAGGAACCAAAAAACATTTTAAGTTTTATTTTGCCCTCCTCACTAGTCGTAAAATATTATCAAATTTTAACCGAGATGACAGTACGTTATACACAAAGTAATGGATCATTGAACACACATCGTCAGTTCCAATTTTTGCTACCTTATATATTCTTATATACTTAATACTTATATATTCTTCATTCGTATAGAAAATAGAGGTATAATAGGCCAATACATGTACATTAAAGCTTATAAAATTAAGTTGTCGTTTATAGTAGTCATCGTTTGAGGTCACATTATTAGTTGGTGAATTTTTTTGGAAGTCTATGGTTATGACTTTTGACAAGTATTTTCGATATTTTCTTTTTACAAAATAAAATTTTTCACTTTTCGCAAGATGAAGTTATTTCTCTTGTTTTTTTATTGTAATTTCTCCAAGATTTGGAAAATTTTTGGTTTTATATTCATTACTGCTGGCACCTAATTTCTGCAAAAGGGCAAATATTTCTGTTTTTATAGTGTCACAGTAGCTACAGGTGTCTTTCCTCGGGCAACCGAATGCCATATTAGGCTTTGTTTTAAAAATTTTGCGAAACTTGTCATACGATAATTTATTATTATCGGGATTTTTTCTTGTGTACATCGTATGTAACTTAGTTATGTTGAGTTCTTCAGGGGATAAAATATCATATTTTTTTTCAGGGAGTAATAAGATTTTTTTCCTTTTAGAAACTAATAAATTCTATCACTTTAACCATATTATTTTCAGAAATTTTGTGGGATCTATTTTTATGATTTCTTCTAGCGTCTAATATTACAGTGCCAGTTGAGGATAATGATTCTCGAATTGTTTGCACTCGGAAAACAGAAATTTTATAAATGGATAAGAACGCTTTAAAACATACTTGCACAGCATAAAAGTCTCTATTAGGGAAACTCCTCACATGATAGAAATAAGAATCAAGATTAGGTGTTCCTGTACCTATTCGAATTCGTCGACACATAACTGGGAGAATGGTTATCAGACCACCAAAATATCGATTTTGATCGACGGAGTTAGCAATTTCATTGAATTGAGTCAAAATGCGTCGCCTTTCGGCTTCATTGACATTTCCAAAACAACGAAAACAGTTGCACTTGCAATCTGGCCCTACCTCGTGAAGAGTGGAAGTTTTATAGCGTCACGAAAACGGCCTGTTTTTTTTAGCGGCAGTCCCCACATCTACATCACTACAATCGCTACCACTACTTTGCATTTTAATCAGTATGCGCTCACTACTTTACCATTGTTTAAACAGAATTAACTGGCAAACTAGAACACACCAACGAAGTCGCTAAACTAAGAAAGAGAATCATAGAAATGCTCCACCCGACCCTGCCTGTTGAGACAGGGATGGGACGGCGGGGACGCTTTCGGACCCTGACAGTTATTCTCTGGCAGCGTGCGGACTATAATGGTTCTTCCCCAGTAAACCGCTTTATTTAAAATTTGTAATAAAATGACAGTAAATGTTTTTCCCTTTTACTCCATACCATCCGAAAGTAATATGTATTCATCACTAGAAAACTTCGTCATGTTAATTTCGACCAAAAGTGGACTATGATTGTTTTTCTCACTGACTACTTAATTATATCGAGTAACTCTTCCAATGCTCAGTACCGGAACACGGAAAACACCTATCAGTGTTAATGGTAGTAATATTAATTTTATCTTATTTTTCTTCACTAAGGCAAGTATCTTAAATAGTGTGACGTTTATATAGTTCTAATTTATTTGTCTTTATTCTAATTTATTGTCTATATTCTAATTTATTAAAACTCACGATAGCTAATTACTAATTTATTAAATAACTTTACAAATGTATTTATTTCACGTTTCGTTACATTTAAATACCGCGTTTACCGATCTTCTTATGACTGACTCAAATACAAAAATCTTTCATTTATATACACAACTGTTGTCATCTGGAACTTTCGGCGAGCTTCCTGAATGATCTCGTATTTTGGTGAAGGCGCTCGACTCGTTTTTCAACCTCGAGACGTGGATGACTCACTAAAATTAGTGTCTAGAGATTTCTGTAAACAACTGGTAGCGAAGCTCAGGTATATTTTGACCTACAAATTACGAGAATCAATAAAAAAGGATTAGTCATAAAATATTTACAGTTCTATATGCCATAACATTTAAAATCGTAACATTGCCCCCCTCTTAAAAGATGGTTCCTCCTGGAACCTTGTCGGGACTGGAACTGGAACGACATGCTGATATCGGCAACTGGACCCTCTTTTACAACTTCCAGTTGTATAGAAATGACAAGGGACGGTTTTCTCTCCGCAGCAGTAACTATGCGGATTGCAACAGACTAACACCTGGACTTCGGTGTCTTTAAAGATTTCCTCCACCATGTTTCGTATAACCCTCCAATCTAATTGGCGGCACTCCAACTTTGGCATGGCTAACTTTTGCACGTCGGACTCTAGTACGTGCTCTCTCAACTGAAGTAAGGCTTCCCATACATCTCGGTAGGTAGGTTGGTCACGGGCAGTGTCTTTTGTTACCAGGTAGAAAAGGTAACGTGATGCATCTTGAAGTTTCAAGGTTTTACCAGGAGCTGGCACTTGGCATTGAAGTTCTGCAACTCGACCAAACTTCCTTCGAAAGACGGATGCCAACCCTGGTGCATCTTTGATACTGGCCGGGATGGTAAGGGAGAGTGAGTAGTCATCGGGAAGCGCGAGTAGATCTTGCCTTTCTTCAGTGGTAACACCATGTCTTGCTTTACCGGTACCTCCATAGGCACCCATGAATTCCTCAAACGTGAGGTCAGACACATCTTGGACTTGGTTTACTTCCACTTCTTCATCTACGTCGTGGTCACCCTCGAAAGACGCCAACCGGTTATGGTGTACTATCATCGGCTTTCCTCTCGGAATCTTGCTTATTCGGTAAATAACATCATTGATCTTCTCCATAATGAGGTATGGACCTTCCCAAAACTGCTGCAATTTGGGAGAACAACCTTTTCGCTTTTTGGGGTTATAAAGCCAGACTTTATCGTTCTTCTTAAAACACCCCTTTTCGGCTTGTGTATCGTACCGTTTCTTCATTCGGTCACTAGCGATTTGGAGATGGGAACGGACCAACTCGTGTACATCGTCCATTCTTCTTCGTAATTCGATCACATAATCTTCACCTGCTACATCTTCTCCAGGTCGACACCCAAACTCTAGATCACAAGGTAGTCGCATCTCGCGTCCGAATAGGACTCTGGCTGGTGTCTGGCCTGTTGATTCATTAACAGCAGATCTGTAGGCCATTGTGAAGAACGGAAGATATTGGTCCCAGTCTCGCTGATGATCGGATACCATCTTTGTCAAATACTTGCCAACTGTTCTATTCATTCGTTCTACCATACCATCCGATTGCGGATGATAAGCCGTAGTTCTTGTTTTCTTCATACCTAGTCTATCACATATTCCTTGGAATAAATCGCTTTCGAAGTTCCTGCCTTGGTCACTATGGATCTCCAAAGGCACTCCAAATCGGCTGATATATTCTTGGATCAACTTATCTGCAACGGTGGCGGCCTTCTGGTCTGGAAGTGCGTAAATCTCGACCCACTTAGTGAAGTAATCCATTACTACCAACATGTACTTGCCTCCATTATCACTTTCTGGAAATGGCCCAGCAATGTCCAAAGCTATTCTTTCAAACGGGCTTCCAACATTATATTGTCTCATAGGAGCTCTCCTTTTTCGATAAGGCCCGTTACTCGTAGCACAAATAGTACATTTCTTACACCAGTCTTTTACATCGTCGGAACTGTTCATCCAATAAAACCGTTCCC